CCCCTTTGCTTTCTCTTTTTCTTTTACTCCATCCTCTGCATTTGGCTTTCCTCTTGTTTCCCATTTTGCACCTGTTTCTGGCTTCTTTGCTCTTCTCTTTCGTTCTTCCTTTTTTCTCTTTTATCATCCGTTTTTCTTCCCACTCTGCCTTCAGAATTGACAAAGGGTGACAGATGGCATCTCAACGTGGAAGAGGGTGGCACAATCTCTTACTTCAATGACGTGTTGTCTAGCTGTCCCCCCTCCCCCCTCCCCCCTCCCCCCCCCTCTTCTCCTAGCCGTCTCCTCTGCTATCACTGCAAACTACCTACTCTCCTCCCCCCCCTCTTGATCTCCCTGCTAGCCTGTTCAAACCCTCCCTATCCCCGCTCCCCCTCGAAAAAGCGTAACTCCCCCTCCCATCTCCCTCCAAACCGTCAGCTTTCCCTCCCTTCCCCCTCCTCCTCCTCTCCCCAGATATCCATCCGGATCTCTGTGTGTTTCTACCCCTCTCCCCCCCTTCACACCCTCTCCCCTTCTTCTCCTTCACCCACTTTCCCCCTCCCCTCATCCCCTTCCCCTCTCCTCTATTCCCCTTCCCTCGCCCTCCCCTCCCCTTCACCCCCTTCCCCCTCATCCCCTTCCCCTCTCCTCTCCTCCCCTTCCCCTTCACCCCCTCCCCTCATTCTCTTCCCCTCTCCTCTCCTCCCCTTCCCTCGCCCTCCCTCACTTCCTTCCCTTTCACCCCCTCACCCCCTCCCTCATCCCCTTCCCCTCTCCTCTCCTCCCCTTCCCCTGCACCCCCTCACCCCCTTCCTCATCCCCTTCCCCTCTCTTCTCCTCCCTTTCCCTCGCCCTTCCCTTACCCCTCACCCCCCTCCCCTCTCCTCTCCTCCCCTTCCCTCGCCCTCCCCTTACCCTTCACCCCCTCTCTTCCCCTCCCCTTCCCCTTCACCCCCTCACCCCCTCCCTCATCCCCTTCCCCTCTCCTCCCCTCGCCCTCCCCTCTTCCTCTCATCCCCTCCGTTGTCTGCGACCCGAACGGCGTGCCTCGTTTTTGTGAGTGCCTCTGGCTTACAAACTCTTGTGACCCTGAAACCTTATATGCACCAGGCGTCTACATTCTCCACCTCCTGGGGTTTGTGCATACAGACCCTGTTTCTTGCTGCTGCATAGCTTTGGTATAGCTTTACTTAGCTCTTTCGTAATGTATGCGTGTATATATAGAACTAGATACACACACGCAGACATATATAGAGATAGATAGATAGATAGACAATATATATATGCATATATATGTAATACGTTTATTACATATATATATATGTATATATGTGTATATATATATATATAAATATGTTCCATGTATGTATATATGTATATATATATATATGTATGAAAATATGTATGTATTATGTATATAAATATATGCTTATGTGTATGTATATATAACGAAGATAATGATAATAATATTAGTAATAGTAATAATAACGATAATAATGATAATAATTATGATAATGATGATGATGATGATAGTAATAATTGTAATGATAGTAATAATAATAATAATAATAATAATAATAATAATAATAATAATAATAATAATAATAATAATAATAGTAATAATAATAATAATGATAATAATAATGATAATAACTAATAATAATATTAATGATAGTAATAATGATAGCAATAATGACTGTAATAATGATAGTACTAATGATAGTAGTAATAATAGTAATAATAATAGTAATAATTATAATAGTAATAGTAATGGTAATAGTAAAGATAATAATAATAATACTAATAATAATAATAATGATAATAATAATAATGATAATAATAATAATGATAATAATAATAATAAAGTTGATGATAGTGATAATAAAGACAATGGCAATGACAATGGCAATGACAATGACAGTGACAAAGATAATAATGGGGATGATAATAATGATGATAATGATAGTAATCTTGTTAATGTTTATAATTGTAATGACAATGATAATGGCAATGATGATAATAATAATTATAACAATAATAATAATAATAATAACAACAATAATAATAATAATAATAATAATAATAATAATAATAATAATAATAATAATAATAATAATAATAATAATAATGATAATAATAATAACAATAATGATAATAATAAAAATGATAATAATAATAACGATTATAATAATAAATCATAATATAATAACAATAATAATGATGATATTGATTTAAAGATAACAATAACGATAACGATAATGACAATAATGATAATAGTGATGATAATGATAACAATCATGATAACGATAATGAAAATACTAGCAATTGTAATGAAGAAATTAATCATATTTATTCAAATTATTATCAGACCAATAACAAGAATAACAATAAACTAAGAGTACATTAAAAAAAAATAATAACAATAGTGTTAACCGTCACCATCAAGATAAAACCACATATATGCAAATTTCTGTGTTTAGGTGAGTGTGTATGTTTGTATTCCGATTGTTATCAGAGA